GCAAGTTGCCATCAGTCTTGCCGGCAAGGCGCCAGCATCCAGCAATGCGCGGACTACTGCTCCACTAGCAGAGCCAGTGCCCGGGACGTGCCGAAAGCCGGGTGAACGTTTTTTTCACAAATCCGAGTCACATGCGACAAGTTCGTGGGAAGGCTTTAGTGGTGGGCAACTCCTGGATCCCAGCGGGCCGTCTAGGGCTTGCTTTTCATATCAATGACCATCAATTCACGCAGATTCATCAATCAAGGGCTTTCCAAAGGACATACAGGCAAACCAACCATCAAAAGGGGCCATGCCCTACAGGAACAGTAGGACGGGTCGGTGTTTTTTCTTTTGGGTTGGAGTCCCAACTTGGGCACTCCATTGAAAGCGCCCGTTGTCTCTGGAAAGACCTGGGTATCAGGTGGGCCTGTGGGTCTGGTCACCGGGTTTTCCCATTTCGTTTTCTCAGAGGCAAAGACAAACCAGAGTCAACCGGCCCATCCTCAAGAGGGGTGTTTCTTTTAGGCCATCTTGGCTGAAAAGGGTGGGTTCCACCGGTGTCGGTTTGGTTACCATTTTGTTGTCCCAAGAGGACATCCATGAGGCCCACCGTTGGACAATTTGTCCTGCTCCGCTTTGAACCCCATCGGGATCTCAGTTTCGATCCCTCAAATCCCGTGAGCGGGGGGTCCATTTCCGATCCCATGTGAGTGGTCCCAACCCAACTCTTCGTGGCTAAAACACATATCTGGTGTATCCTTGTATATTCTGATTGCCTTGTGAAGACCAACCCGCACATGAAAAAATGTAATGGGGGTTCCCTCCGCTTTAAGAGAGCCTCGAGCCGCGCTTCCAGATTTGGGTGTGGGTCAATATTAAATCACCAGGAATTGGACCGCAGATTTTAGTCCATGTTTCCATTTAGGGCAAGCCATTTTGGGTACCTGTTCCATGTTCCATTTTTGACCCACAGATACGCCTGGCGGCCGGTGCAAGTACTTTGGCCTCCTCTTCGAGGCGTCCTGGTCCTATGAGACCCGCTGCGCCGCCGGGCCGCACATCCGAAATCCCCGACCTGGCAAGGCCTGCGTCTGCCTTGCGGTGCCCATTTTTGGGACAGACGTTTGGGAAACCCCTTGGGGGACCTTTCGCGCGAAGGTTTTGTGAGTTGGCCATGTTCATGGCTCCGCTTTTAGCAGCGAAGCCTTCGGAAACGAATTGATTTATCCTACCGCGGGGCACTCGAAACAGCCTGCTGTGAGTAACCTAGGTATTCTTTAATGAGAACACGGGCTACGGCGACACGCCAGAGTTCGGCGGCAGGTCTTGCACCATTGCAGCAGGGGAAGCTGAGGGAGTTTGACAAAATGGCGCTGCCATCCACTACCCCTATGTCGTACATGATGTGGCTGTGGTTGTCAAGACCGTTTTGGGATCCCATTTTGGGGTAGGTGAATTCACCACCCATTTTAGATCCTATGGGATGTTCACCGGGGGTACGGGATTTTGTCCCCTGGCCGTGTGGGTTTGTCCCGAAATGGAGGGCCATTTTGGCTCGACGACCTTTGTGTGTCTTGTGTCTCAAAATGGCAGGCGGATGGAAAACAAAAGACTGGAGGGGTTTCCCAATTTTGAGCAATGCTCATGTCTTTTATTTGTGCTTCAACATGGAACTGCCTTGCTGCAGGGGGTGGTTGAGCCGTCATTCCGAGAACGACCCATGCCGCCAAAGAGTTTCAACCAGGCGAGTTACGTTTCTAGGGGTACCTTCCCCATTCTTCCAGGGATCCGTTTCTTTTCAGGAAACCATCTTAAAAACCCAAGTTGGAAACAGATCTGGTTTTTGAGAAAAGAACGATGGTTGAAAAGAATGGACAAGGAATCAACCCCTAGAACGTTGGAGTTGTTAACAACAAAAAAAGTCCACCGCATGCTGCAGGCACGCCGCAGGTGCGGATGGGCAAAGGGTGCTGGGCAAAGGGCGGAGTAGCTCGAAGATCTGGCTGTGGTTGTCAAAACCGTTTTGGGATCCCATTTTGGGGGTAGGTGAATTCACCCATTTTAGTCTATAGTGGGGATTGGGATGTTCACTGGGGCACGATTTGGATTTTGACCCACGGCCATCGAATGCATCGATGAGGTTTTGGAAGTTGGGAACAAGGAGAGTCCTGCGAATTGAAGCAATGTGGAGGTCCCCCTCCTCACTTTCGGTTTCTTGTGGATTTTGGGCTGCATCTTAACGAGGCCTTTGCCTGTTGTAGAGTGCGGCTTGCAGCATGCGGTCCGTGGCTTTGCGCTTCTTGCCCTGATGTTTGGTGAAGTCTTTGTAACCATCTTGGCAGAAGCCTAGGGGTCGATTCACCGTTCTCTTCAACCATGGTCAAGCCGCTTTCCTTGGAAAGGATCCTTGGAAAGAGGGAAGTCACTGGGCTTGGCCATTCTTGGAAGGTCTTGAATGGGGATTTCAATCTCAGGTCAATTTGGGAGCATCTTGCTTGGCCTCCAAAATCATGACGGGGCAGATTCTCAATTCCTAGGTTCACGGTTGCACGAACAAGTAAACTCAGAATCCTTTGGAACCAAGGGCCCAAGATTGTGCAGGGTTCTACCTTTTGACCCCCAAAAAGAGATAAAAGCCCAGGGGTGGTTGATTTCCCGAAAAGCAAAACCGTTAACCCCTGGGTTGAAGTCTACCTTGGGGTAGTCGAAAAGTGGAACCCTGTAAATGTAAGCCCGATGCTCGGAGAGGTGGACAGCGCGCGGAGCCGGTACTGGACCGTCTTTGAGCTCACCCGCCCGACGCCCCATGCACCGCCACCCAGTGGGATCTATCCTGGAGGCTCGCGGCCGCATGGGAACGGAGTGCAAAGAAGAAAACACAAAACACATAGGTTCAAGCTTACTTGTTTCTCCCGCTCGCTCCTTCCCTCTCTCTCGCACTCTCTCTCTCTCTATGTGTATATATATATATGCATCTCTTTGTTTCTATCTCCAACTTCCTCTTTGGTATTTGTTCATTGTCTCCGACAGGACCTGCCCCAAGGCAAGCTTCTAGACTGTCGCATCGTCTTTTTCCATTGCATTTCCTTGCTACGGGGTTGCTCACCCCATTAAGCAGTTTTTTGGGCCACATTCCCTAGACCTTCCCTTTGTGAGCAACCCTTCAATAATGGGAGCCCAAGATGAATACGCCTTTTGATAAATAGGGCTTGGACGTCCCATTTACGAGGCAACCCAGCTCTCTTCTTTGGAGAAAACACCAATCAATCCATACCACTGCACCAGTACCTCCAATCCAGCCATCCAACCCCAAGCCGCCATATCAATCCAGCTCGCTTTGAACGATCCGGGTTCGAGTTTTGCCAGGTCGCGGTGTTTTGGCCCGCGCAGCTTGGCAAGTCAGGTTCGGCTCGCCTCGGATTCCATCTATTTTCTGGGTTCCCGGCTCTCCGGTTAGTTGGGCTTTGAGGGATTTTTGGTCGGTGTGGTGGTTTCCAGACTGAAAGTTAGACCAAAATGGCCGGGGACCCGGTTCCAAGGAGCGTGGGGAACGAGCTCCAAGTTTCCCTCAGGGACGTCTTTTCTTTGGTTTTTCTCAATGGGAGAGTCGGACCTGTTCCCAAGTTCATCGGTTGAAATGCAGCTGGTGTGCTTTCACTGCGTGAAATGATCAACCGATGAGGGCGTGCAGTGTTCTCCCCTCAATACTCATCAGCGAAAAAGCATGTGGACAACTTGCCTAAGAGTGCAATCCTAGTAGAGATTGCAGCGAAGAATGCGCATCTGCCTTTGCAAAATTCCTTGATCATCGTAGTTTGCTCCAAACCAAGTCAACACAGCATGCCACCATTGTCGTAACGCGGGGGGAGGGGCCTAATAATTTAGCACAATGGGCAGATTCTTCCCAAATTGCATGACGCCCGTTTCATCCATAGGGTTGTCCTTGTTGGCCGCTTTTATTAACAACATGTTTGGGATCTCTAAAAGAGCCCATGGATTCTTCTTGGAGGTCTGCCAAACTTGCTCCACACAAGAACCACCCCGGTCAATATGTCCCAGGTCTGGAACCTGTGCCCAGCCAACAACTACTTCAACGCGCACTGCCACTCTTTCCAGCTGCTTGACTTGAGAATGGACTGCGGCTGGAATTCTGCAAAAAAGGGGATCGTATTTTTTTTTATAGATGAGATGCTCCAAGCGTGAGCATTCCTGGCGAAAGGAAAGCCGTAGGTCGCGCAAAAGCACCCGAGCCGAATTCTGACTCCGAAAAAGCTGGGCCCGTAGAATGAACCGGCGGGGGGTTTTGAGACTTGGGGGCCGTTTTTTTTTTTAGTGGTTGCTCGCAGGGGTTTAGATGCCTTTTAGCTTACTTACGGTGGGTCTGGAGTTGGATTCGCTTGGCCAGGCTGACTTCGATTGGGTGTGGGGTGGCTTGCGGCTGATTTGCTCAATCCAGTGGCTTTAGGGTTGCCTTAGGAGGGATTGAGTGTGTCTTAGCCCAGTTGGGGATTGGTTTCGGGCCGGCCTTAAAGGGAAGCCAGCCTTTTGGTGGTCCAATCGGCCGACCGAGAAGACTTCCATCACCAGGCCTTTGCTCTTTGCCTATGGTCTGAGCTTTCTTGAAAAATAACTTGCCGCCTGGGAAAAGGACCCCATTTGTTCCATATGCTTCTTATTTGTTTCAGGTGATTGCTTTCCAATGATGGTTTTAGAAGGAATTGGTCATGACTGGCAGATATGTTGTGCTGAAGTGGCGCCTTTGAAAACCAGGGAGGTGTTTTTGTGTGGAAACACCAGTGTTCCAGGTCAGGGACATTGGGTGTGTCCAAAAGTCCTAAAGGAGAAATTGGACCTCCAAGCTTTATCAGTTTCCCTTGACCTGTCCAGGGGTCCATTTGAGAGCTTTGGCCAACCTTCCAGTCACGCCTTTCTCGGAAAACGGAAATTCCACCCCCCCGCAAGACGGGGCTCTGTTCGGGGGTTTGGCGTTTCCCGCACCGAACCACGGAAGGCGGTTGCTTGAAACGGGCCTCTAGCCACCAAGCATCGAATCGGGCTTCCCGGTCTGGAGCTAAGCCATGTCTCTAAGAAACAGCTATCAATCCGTGCAAGGAAACCCGGAATGAGTTGACTCCCACACCAAGAACCAACGGTTTCCCCTGGTTTCTCATCCTGGTGCGACCTGTTTTTTTTTTTTTCGTCCCACCCACTGCATGTGGACCTGGCGTGCTTTTTTTTCCGCCAGGGCCGGCTTCCAAGCGCTGCATGCGAGCCTGAACACGGAGTACCGGGATCAGCCCCTGGGCCAGTCATTTAGGTGTGGCTCAAAATTAAGCCGGAGGGGTTGCGCAGGTTTTAGTCTCCATTTTGGAATTCCGGTTTTTGAGCCGCAGCCAGTTGGAGGTGAAGGGACAGGAGCGGCGCGTCGTGGGGACAAACTGAGACTTCGGTGAAATCCAAATGGCTGTGGTTGTCAAAACCGTTTTGGGATCCCATTTTGGGGTATGTGCACCACCCATTTTAGAATCTATTTTAGTGGGGATTGGGATGTTCACTGGGGGTACAGGATTTTGACCCATGGCCAAATGACGAATTCTCCCTTTACAGGGAGGTCCCTTGCTGTCGCAGAAGCGGGAGGCAACCCCTCATTCCAAAACCCGGGTTGGTAACGAACATTGATCTGCGGGTTGGTGATGGAGGTTGCTTGCAGGTAACTAAGGGACTTTGCTTAAGGCTTAGTACTGGATTTTTTGGATGCTTAGAAAGGTGGATCTTGTGAGGGTTATGTAGGGATATGAATTGGCGGGCAGCAAGGGTTGTGAATTTAGATTGGTGAGGGACATGCAGCAAAGGTTGGTAAGGGACATTGATAAGAGGCTGGTACGGGACATTGATGGAAGTCTGGGAGGGGACATTGACAGAATTTCCTGAAGGGACATTGAGGAAGATTAAGAAGGGACCTTGACGGAAGATTAGGACGGGGCATTCAGTGAAGGTTAGTAGCAGACATTCATTGAAGGTCAAGAAGGCTTTGGCCCACCGTGAAGGAAAGCTGGGCCTGCAATGAGCCAGCAGCAATCAGTCATGAGGTCGTTCTTCTCCGCTGACCCAACATGTTGCTTGGGGCTGTTGTGGTTCCTTCTGATTGATTTCGGATTGTATGTCGTTGCTAAGGCCAACACTCAACTATGCCGGAATCCTTCAAGGAGTGGGTCCCATCTTTTTTCGGAATTCCAACCACTACACTCCCCCATTGCCAGAAGGGTCTTTGGGATTTCCTCATCGAAAAAACCCAAGGCGTCCGATGATGGAGACCATCCGTACCGATGCGTTACACGGGGCTTTCGGCGCCTCGGACATCGGTGGCCATAGCTCGGCGCCCCCCGTTTTTGGCAAATTTCAGCGGGGTAGGTTGGCTTCCTGGTAGCAAGTGGATGTCATCCTTGGCTGCGTGGCGGAGTAAAGAGGACGAACTCAACCTGGGGGAGTTGTGCCATCTACTTTCACCGAACTATATTTCTTTTGGTCTGTCATACGCAATAGGGCTAAAACAACTGTGTTCCATTGTGTTAAAAGGAAGCCAGCAGGAAGCCCGCGACAAAAGGTGGCACGCCCGATTTTGGACGTCCATGTATGGTATGTCTTTTGAAAGCGTGCCCTTGTTGTTGAGTTTTTTGGAGTGGAAACGAGAGGGGAACAACCCAGAACATGGTTGCCCCCGCATATACTTGCAAACGAACAAGTGTGGCCTCAGGTGAGGAACGAGCAAATACTTCCATTCCGGAGTTTATGACGAGCTATGATCCAGAGGCACGTCAGGGTCCAGGATTTTTGTCGTGGCCGCAATGGCTCCCAACCGGGGAGCGCAGGTGTGTGCGTGTGTGTGCTTGTGCGCGCGCGCTTTTGAGGGTACTCTTTACACTTTGGTTGAAAGGGAAAAGGACACTCCATGTAACAGGTACCCATATGCAGTCTTCCGTAGCTGTCAAATACCTAAACAGGGGATATGGTTCGCCAGCGAACTGGGGAACCATCTCAGGGGTGAACCCTCAGGGACACGACATTAGTGGAGGATATGTGCAGAGATTTGGCGGACTGACCAGGGACAGCAGCATGGTTTCACACCTTATTCTTGCTGTGTAGGCACCGAAAAACGCTGACATAGACGGAACGAGTATTGGAGAGCGGCATGGTCGACCCTCTTGCCACGTTTCGACGAGTTCAATCACAGCAGCTTTCGCTTCGGCGAGGGCACTGAATCGTGCGCGTTTGGCTTCTTTGATTTTTTCCGAGGGCTTTCCCTTTAAAAGCAAATCAGGCAGAAACTGTGCTCCAAGAAAAGGTGCCCCTATGTCACCATGGCCTTTGGTGGTGTGGGATTTGTCCCCTGAGCCGCCCCGGGGACGGCGCTCAGGGGACGGTGCGCAGATACGACGGGCCTAGGTTGGCACCTGGCAGTTGTGAAGTAATCCAGCCCTTGAGGTTTTGAGTGCATGTGTGCATGCGTGTTTGTTTGCGGCCCGGTACAGTTCTTTTCGGTTGTTTGGGGTAGCTTTAAAGAGAACCAGGGGGAAAACCCATTGGTGGTGTCCCCTGATTTGACACTTGTCACACACACGCACAGGCACACGCACACGCACAAACACACGCGCACGTGCGGGTTCGCACGCGCACACACACGCACACGCGCACGCACGCACACGCACACGCACACACACTCGCACTCGCGCACGCGCACGCGCACGCGCACTCACACTCTCACACTTTAACACACTGACACTCTCACACTCTCTCACACTCTCACACTCTCACACTCTCAAACTCTCACACTCTCACACACTCACACTCTCACACTCTCACACTCTCACACTCTCACACTCTCACACTCTCACACTCTCACACTCTCACACACTCATACACTCACACACTCACACACACACACACACTCTCACACTCTCACACACACTCACACACTCACACACTCACACACTCACACACTCTCACACTCTCACACTCTCGCACTCTCACACTCTCACACTCTCACACTCTCACACACTCACACACTCACACACTCACACCACACTCACACACTCACACACTCACACACTCACACGCTCACACACACACACACACTCACACTCACATACTCGCACACTCACACACACACACACTCACACACTCACACACACTCACACACAAACACACTCACAAACTCACACACACACACACTCACACACATACACATACTCACACACACACACACTCACACACTCACACACTCACACGCTCACACACACACACACTCACACACACACACACACACTCACAGACACAGACACACTCACACACACAAACACCCACACACACCCACACACACACACACTCACATTCATACACGCACACACTCACACACACACACTCACACACACACACTCACACCCACACACTCACACACACACACACACTCACGCTCTCACACTCACACACACACAAAGTCACTCACACACACACTCACACTCACTCACACTGCCCACACTCACTCACACTCACACTCACACTCACACACACTCACACTCACTCGCACTCACTCACACACACACACACACACACACACACACACACACACACACACACACACACACACACACACACACACACACACACACACACACACACACACACACACACACACACACACACACACACACACACACACACACACACACACACACACACACACACACACACACACACACACACACACACACACACACACACACACACACACACACACACACACACACACACACACACACACACACACACACACACACACACACACACACACACACACACACACACACACACACACACACACACACACACACACACACACACACACACACACACACACACACACACACACACGCCCACACACCCACACGCCCACATGCCCACACGCTCACATGCCCACACCCACACGCTCACATGCCCACACGCTCACATGCCCACACCCACACGCTCACATGCCCACACCCACACCCACACCCACACCCACACCCACACCCACACCCACACCCACACCCACATCCACACCCACACCCACACCCACACCCACACCCACACCCACACCCACACCCACACCCACACCCACACCCACACCCACACCCACACCCCACACCCACACCCCACACCCCACACCCACACCCACACCCACACCCCACACCCACACACACACACCGTCCCCACGCCCCCCACCCCACACCCCACCCTACCGTCACCGTCCCACCGCCCACACGCCCACACGCCCACACGCCCACACGCCCACACGCCCCACAGCGCCCCACCGCCCCCACGCCCGGGCACCGCCCACACGCCCGGAACTCGCGAGCACCCGGGCACACGCCCAGACTGCGCCCGGAGCACACGCCAGGCACACGCCGGGCTGCACTCCCAGACTGCGCCGGGCACACGCCCGGGCACACGCCCGGGCCCTGCTGAGCTGCACGCCCGGGCTGCGCGGGCTGCGCCCGGGCCACACGCCAGGCGCTGCGCCCGGGCACCACCAGGCTGCGCGCCCGGGCTGCCTCCCAGGCTGCGCCGGGCACACGCCCGGGCACACGCCCGGGCACACGCCCGGGCACACGCCCGGGCACACGCCCGGGCACACGCCCGGGCGTGTGCAGGCACACGCCCGGGACACGCCCGGGCACACACACGCCCGGGCACACACACGCCCGGGCACACACACGCCCGGGCACACACACGCCCGGGCACACACACGCCCGGGCAGGCACACGCCCGGGCAGGCACACGCCCGGGCACACACACGCCCGGGCACACGCCCGGGCACACACACGCCCGGGCACACACACGCCCGGGCACACGCCCGGGCACACACACGCCCGGGCACACGCCCGGGCACACGCCCGGGCACACGCCCGGGCACACGCCCGGGCACACGCCCGGGCACACGGCCGGGCACACGCCCGGGCACACGGCCGGGCACACGCGCCCA